CGTGCGGAGCCGCCCCCAGTTCCCCTACAGAGTCTGCGCCCCCCCCCCCCCCCCGATAGTCCGGGCTCGCCAGGGGCCAGCCGGGGTGCAGAGGTTGGGGGCGGGAGGGACTGTGGGGCCGGGCAAGGGCCGGGGGAGCGGGCAGAAAGGAGGGATCGCGGGAGGGATGAGTGGAGAGATGCTGGCGGAGAGGTGAGTGCGGAGGGCGGACGGAGGGAAGGCGGCACAGTGGAGGAGCTGTGTCCCAGCCAGGCCCCGGGGGCGCGGGGAGAGCCCATCGGGGCCGCGACGCACCTGTGTCGCAGCCTGGGCTCGGGGTGCGCGGAGGAACCCGGGCTGGGAGACCCGGGCATCTCCGCAGCAACAGGGCCATGGCTCTGTGTGAGTGTCCCATGACCAGGGGCACCTAGCCCGGCCCGTGGGGAAAGGTGCCGGCAGGGAGACCCCCGCGAGGGAGGACGAAGGCAGCAGCCACTGGTGTCCGCCTCCGCCTCGCCTGAAAGGTCTGGGGGATGATGAGGTGCGGGGCCCAAACAGGGGAGGGAGTTCCAGCGGATGTTTATTGCGGGGGGGTCGGGGAAGGTGGTAGAGCGGCGATGCTCGGCTTCGGGGGCCGCCCCGATACTTGAGGGTAGCCGTCGTGGGAAATGCGCGAGTCATTGCTACGCGTTGCATTCCTCAGTGCCACCGCAGTCTTTTGAGCCATCGGGCTACATCTTTTCGGGGCGAAGCAGATGTGTCCACGGAGGGTGAGGAAAAAGGGGGACAAGTGTCCTAGCCGTTCTTCCGCGTCGAGCTCTCGGTGTTTTCGCACCGCGGAGCTGTTCCGGAGGAGAGGCGGCGGGACAAGCTCAGCTTCTCCTCCCACCTGCTCGGGCGAGGTGTGAGCTGCGGGGAGCAGAACCTGTGGGCTCGATCCTAACAAACACATTCGTCCTCTGGACGAATGTAGAACCGGGGGCCCAGCAGTAATGGCTAACGGCGGGGCTAGCAACACCCCGTCGAGACTGGATGTTCTTTGCAGCGCTCCGCCGATGCGGAGCGGTCGAGGAACGGGACGTGCGTCCTCGGGACTTCTGTCAAACGCGGCCTCAGGGTATAGGCCCTTTTGGGGATGCAGAAAAGGGGTCGACCCCGCTTGCTGCACAGCACCGTGCCACCCTCTCCCTCGGGTTCTGTCCCTGCGGGATCCGTGTTGCGGGGCAGACAGGTTTGGTTTCTCCCTCCATTGTCTCAGCTCCGCCCAGCGCCGCTCACGCGTGTGGGAACCCCGCGTGTCTGTGAGGCCGGACAGGAGATGTGGGAGCGGAGTGGCGGGGTCTTCTCTCGGGGATTTGGGGTTTCGAGGCTGCAGCCCCGCCATTTGGCGGGGACCCGCTCCGCTGCCGCCCAGGTGACAACGATTCCCGATGGGTCGGTCCTCTGTTCCTGGTTACACACCGCTCAACCCCGAGTCCATTGGCCGGGTGGACAGGCCGAGGGACCAGTCCGCGCCAGGGCTGTCCCCAACGTGGTGTCACAGCTGGAGCTTTATGTAAGGAGCAGGAAAAGAGAAAGGAATAAACCTGGGAAACGGTGCGGGCAGTTAAGGCCGGGACAGCAACCCCAAACTCTGCTGAGGCGTTGGTTTCGGGTCCTTTATTAATTTCCAGGGGGAATATTTTCTTTCCTCCTGGAGCAGAAGCTGTCCAGAGCCAAGCACACCTCGGGGAAGGAGCGTTTCAGCGTCCCGCTCGCATCCTTGGGTTCCTAGAGGCGGCTTGGAGTTCGCACCCGCGGCTCCTCGCTTTCCTTCGATATTGCCCGGGGGTGCCCAAACGAAATCCCTTCCCCTCCTCCTTGTTTTGCTGCCAGGTGAGCAGCGCGGGTCAATACTGGGACTCTCTTCCCCGTGGCGTGTCCCTGAGCTCGCGAAAGGAGCTACCCCGGCCAGGAACCGCGCTGCCAGCAGCAGCAACAGCAGCAAAGAAACAAAACACCGATCATGTCACGCTCTGCCCTTATGCCGTTAGCTGCAGGAACATATGCTCAAATATGTAAGAGTAGTCTAGATTTTTCTCTGCAAATATTTTTACCACATCCAAAGATAATATTTCAACAGAAGAATCAAGCCCCGCAGGCTACAGACAGGGCAGCTATATATAACCCGCTTGCTCACTCGGGCTCTCCGCGCATCGCTCGGGTTATGCAACCCCCATCGCGACGGTAGCCACCGGCGCGCCCCACGGCTCCGCCCGCCCCGTCGGGGCATTTCCCCGGGACCTCGGTGCAGGTACCCGCCCGGAGGGACCGGCACCGGGGCGCGGGCCGAGACTGGTACTGGTACCCGGGCTGGGCCGGACCCGGCAGGGTGGCCGCGTCGCCTTGCCCCGCGCCGATGCGAAGGAAGGGCCCGGGGAACGCCGCGGCGCTCCGAGGGGCCGGTAGCAGGCGGTGAGTAGCGCCTCGTCCTCGCCGGGGCAGGGACGGGAACTGGGCGCGGCTCCCGGCCCAGACGGGCCGTGCAGGTGCTGCCGACGGAGCGGGCTCTCAGGCTGGGCCGGGCAGGAGCTCGCCTGCCGCCTCGCTCGTTCCTTTCCATTTTCTCCGCTTTTTTTTTTTTTTTTGGCGAAGGAAATGCTCGAACGCTGGCGGGCGCTTTGAAAGCCTGGTGGCCCGGGGCTAGGGGGGGTCCCATCCGAGCGAAGCGGCCGGCAGTACCTGCGCCCGCAGCGCTCCCTGACGTGCCCAAACCCCCCCGCCTGTTGAGGAGGCTCAGACTGCGGCCACCGAACCCCGAAGGTCTTCCCCAGCCCCGCGGTGCATGCGAGCTGGAGGGAAAGAGCAATCCCGTCTCTCGGTGCCGGACATCCGCAGCGTGACGCCGGGCTCGGCTCGGCTCGGCTCGGCTCTTCCCTTCCCGTCGGCCGGCTCCCGGAGCCGTGATTGACACCGCCGGCCCCTCCGCCCGCCCCGCAGCACATCCCATCCCTCCCCGGCGGCCGCTCGCCGTGCCCGGGAGGCGGGGAAGGGCCTCCCCAGCCCTTTGACACCGTCTCGGCAGGAGTTTCACTTCGCTTTCGCCGCCGCCGCCGCCACTTCTGCAGGCAAACACCCCCGGCTTCCATGTGACGCCTCCCAGCCACTGAATGGGGAAAGCGCCTATAAGGGAGACACTTTCCCTTCGTGCAGGAGAAAAGGAGGGGACGAGGGGGGCAGAAGCAGGAGGTGGTGGTTGAGGGGAAGACAGAAAATGAATTAACAAATCGCAGAGAACGAATTTGGGGGGGGGGTGAGAAATTGACACCCCGGGAAAGAAATTCTTGGGATTATTTATTTGTTGCCCCCCGGTCCCGTCCCGTCTCGCTGACAGAGCTCGGTCCGCCGTTGCTGTGCTCGGCGCTGGCTGCAAAAGGCCCCGGGGAAGTTCCTTGCTCCCCAACGCCCTTCCCCGGGGGGCAGAGGGTTTAGGTTGTTTTCTGTTGGATTTTTTTTTAAAGTTTCCCTTCTCCACCCCCCCCCGTCTGGAAGGAGGGGGTCTCGTTCGCACCTCCCTGGATGGTGCGGTAGAAAGGAGGGGAGTGAGGGGGTGGGAGGGGGGGCTCGTGGTGGGAGGCTGCCGCGCCTGCTGCTCCTGCATTGGTGTCTCCCCTATGGACGAAAACAGCCCTCTGTCTCCCAAGGCAAATGCTTTCAGTATCGCCTCTCTGATTTCAGTCGCCGCCGCCGAGCAAGCAGGGAAAGAAGCGCTGGAGGAGCGCCGCGGCGGCCGCAGCGCGCCCGCCCGCCCCGGCTGCCGCCCGCAGAAGATGCACTTCAGCACCGTCACCAGGGACATGGAAGGTGAGTGCCGTGCTCGGCCCCGCAGGGATGCGGGGACAGGACCACCGACCACCGCGTATCCCAGGGCTTCCACGCGGCCCGGGCCGGCAGCCGGGCCAGGGGCAGCGCACACAACGCGGCCTGTCCGCGGGGCCGGTCGGAGAAGGCTTTGCCGTTCCTCCCGGCACGCCTGGGCCCCTGTAGCCCGCCCTTAGAGAAAGGCAGTGCCCGTGTCCCGGTAGCAGCCTTCGACGGCTCCGCCGCTGGGTCTCGCCTCTTCTCAGAGGTGCTGAAAACATCCCCCGACAGCGCCGGCTGTGCCCGAGGCAGCGGCAGGCCGGGGTTCGGCTCCCATCGGCTCTGCAGCCTGGGGGCTGCATCGGAAATAACGCAAGAGACCCCCGGGTCCTCGAGGAGCGTTTCAGCATCGGAGGGGATCCGAAGGAGCCGGCCGCTCCCCGGGCCGGCCTGTCATGCGCTGCGGGGCCCGCTCGGGCCGGCGGCCGAAGGCTGCCCAGCCTAGTTCGTCCCAGTGCTCCTCGGCGAGGACGCGGAGCTTTGCTCTGGTCCCGGCCTCTTCCCCTTTTTCTCCCGGGGATGGAAGGACTGGGGCATTGCCGAACCAGATCCGACTTTCCCTGTCAGCCGCAGCCCTGCGGCTCTAGAGTGAAGGACGTTACCTTGCAGCAGCGTAGCTACACGGAAATAAGAACCGATTTCTTTTTCTGAGTTTCCCCACTCCTCTTTTTTCTTTTTTTTTTTTTTTTTTTTTTTTTTTTTTTTTTGAAGAGGGGGCGAAAGGAGGGAGTTTGCTTTGTCCCAAGTGGTGTGTGGCGAGGGAGGCCTGCAGAGATAGCACGGGCTTTGCACCGCCGGGCCTCTTGGCAGACCTCTCGGGTTTGCAAAAGAAAAAAAAAAGTAGAAGAAAAAAAAAAAGTAGAAGAAAAAAAAAAGGGGGAAAAAAAAGCCTAGGCAGGCAGGCAGCGGGAGCAGCGAGCTCCCCGCCTGCCCCGGGGGGAGCGGGGCTGGGGCCAAGCAAAGCGGAAAGGGGGAGGCGCCCCGCTGGGCTGGGCGCGGGGCAGGAGAGGAGGCGGAGGGCACCCCGCGGAGCCGGTGCGGAGGCGGGGGCCGCGCGGAGCGGCGCGGAGCTGGGGGGATAAGCGGGAGCCGGAGCGGAGCCCTGACCGCTTGTTTTTGGAATGATTTCAGCTATCTCCAGCCCCTGGCTCACCCAGCTGTCCCATTTTTGCGATGTTGCAGCTTTCACGGCCAACAGCCTGAGCAGCCTGAACGCCTCCGGGGGGTACCACCTCTCCCCTTCCCCGGGGGACCCGTACGGACAGCATGAGCCGCCGCACTACGAGCCCTGCACGGCTCAGCAGCACCCGCACCCGCCGCCCCAGCCCCAGCACGGCTACCCTTTCGGCGGGGCGGCGGCGCCGGCCGGGACCAACCCGCCTCCCCCAGGCCCCGAGCAGCCCGAGGGTGCCGGTGGAGCCGCTGCGGGGCCGGCCGCAGTGTCGGGCTGTTCTGCGGGGGGGGCCGCCACGACCAAGGCGCCGGTGAAGAAGAACCCGAAGGTGGCCAACGTGAGCGTCCAGCTAGAGATGAAGGCGTTGTGGGACGAGTTCAACCAGCTGGGCACCGAGATGATCGTCACCAAGGCAGGCAGGTCAGTGCGGAGCTCCCAAGCGGCCCCGGCTCTCCAGCCGCTCCCTCCGGACCCGGGTACCCAGGCCAGTCGGGGCGGGAGAGTCCGGTGCGAGCGGTTGAATTCTCAGTTTGGGGGGAGATTGAAGCTGTTGCTCAAAGGCGAGTCGCGGAGCGGCCCGGCCCAGCGGTCGCCGTCATTTGATCCTTGCGCTTCTCCTGGGGCAAAATCTGCGAGTTCTTGCGGCCCGAAGGCCTCGGTGCTGCGGAAGAACGCGCGGCTTCTGCTGCGGGCTGACGGCAAAGGCGTGCGGAGGACGGCAGGCAGGGCACTGGGTTTCACTCCCGCTGAAAAGGGCGCTGTACTCCTCCGGGCGCCTTCGGCTGTGATCCCCACGGGACTTCGATCCGTGTTTACGAAGGACAGTGGGTGCTCGTGGGGCGGACAGCAACGATACGGGGGAAAGAAAAAGCCAACACACAAAACCTGCTAAATACATTCTTAGCACGGGCAGATATTTTCCTTCCGGCGGAGACACGAACAGACCCTAATTCTGCACCTTGAAACGTGTTCCAGGGCTGTTACATTTCCCGATTATCGAGTAACGAGCCCGGCTGAACGCGGTTCCTCTCGGCTCCGCTCTGGCCGCCGCGGCGCGGTTCCGGGGCCAGGACCCCGCTCATGGCCAGGGAACAAAGAAAGTGGCTGATGCGATCGCGTTAGGAACGAGCAAAACATGTAAGGGGAAGGGCAGTCCCAATTACAGTTGTTAGTTACTGCATTTAATGGAAATCTCCGGGAAGCGCCGCGGCCGCGGCGGCTCGGGCAGAGTTGCGAAGCTTTCGCCGCCAGGCTCCGGTCAGAGCTGCGAATTGTCCAGGCTCTGTCTTCCCTTGATTTAAAGCGATCCGGCGGCCAGGAGAAAAGAAAAACAAACAAATTAAGGAATCCCCCGTTGCTTGCTCTCAGTTCGCCCCGGGGCTGACTGCGGCGGGATGGCCGGGGGAGAGGGTCGGACTCCGCTCCGAACGGTCTGGCCAGAGCCGACTGCGGCCGCGCGCCCCGCTCTCCCCTCATTTTGAGAGTCCCGAAAGTGTGTGGGGGGGGGGGGAAGAGAGATATGTACGCAGTTGACTTTTTTAAATTATTTTTTTTTTATATTAGCAATTTCCTAAAATAAAACAATCACCGTGGTGCCCGGTGCAAAAGCAGCCGGCGCTTCGTTGCGGGACCTGAGCGGAATTTCCCGCAGACGGTGCCTGCCCCGGCGCCGGGTCGCACAGCCCGCTGTCTCCGGCCGCGGCCCCTGAGCCCGGCGCCGGGCTCGGCGTTGCTTTCCTTAGCGGAAAAGGTCGTTCAGGCTCCAGGCGGAGGCTCCCTGCAAACAGGAGTTCTTCGATCTGGCTTTCTTGGCTCTCCAAGAAGAGCGAAAGGATTGCAAACACCCACTTCAAAAAGTTTCGGAAATCAACCAATTCGAATTAAATCGGGGGCTTTCCTCCCACCTTTTTCTTCCTTTACTTTATGACACCGTCGAAACTCCAGACAGGCGAGTAAAAACAGGAGAAAACGGGGTAAAAGCAGCAGGAAAAGGCTCGGGGAAGGCGCTGTAAAGCCTATTCTCTCCCAGCACCTCTGGGCTGGCCCTGCTGTTTGTCTAGATGGGTCTTATCATCTCAGGTTGTTTGTTTTAAAACTAAGTTTTAGAACAAGAAACACCGGAATTGGAGCTAATGGGGGCTTTTACACGTTTAAAAATAGTAATAACAGAGGGAGCGACTGAAAACGTCTTCCAGAGTTTGCTAAAGCCTTACCGAGAGGGAGACGCAGCTGCCCGATCCCGGCAGTGCTGAGCCCGATCTGCAAGTGCGGCGGAACCAGAGGCGCGCTGACCCATCGCCCCTCCGAGGGGGCAGGGGCACATAGCAATAGGTCCGGCCGTGAGCCCCGAGAACGAGCCGAGGGGGGCTCTCTGGGTCCGGATTTGATCGGGCTGTGTGTTCAGGGGACTGTTGAGACTTTGGTTTTTCAATGGCTGCAAACGCCCTTCCCGAAATACTGGTCACCGTCGCTTGCTTGATTTACTACTCTGTAAAACAAAACGAAGCCATAACGAGCCCCGACGCCAGGGCACATCTTCGGCGTGTCCCGCCGGGGAGCCGCCGGCCAGGCCGTGGTCCCGGTGTGTGCAGATGCAGGAGGGAGGGACGGGTGAACCGTCCCGGCCCCTTCCCTTAGCCCACCGCCGATCGCATTTGTACTGTAGCCCCTTGAAGGAATCGTGCCCTCCCTGAGCGTGGGATCCGCGTTTCGGCTTAGCTTTGGGTCTCCGGGGGCCTGCGCAGAGAAGAACCGGGGGGAGCAGACCGGCGGCTGGCCTGCCCAGCTCTGGAGCCCTAGGCTCCTTTCCGTTCTCCTTTTCATCCCGCAAAGGTGCGGGGAGCGGGAGCCCGGCCGGGCTCTTGCAATGAAGTGGATCCGGGACGGGGCTTTCTGGGAGATCCCCATTGCCCTCTAGCCCTTGCCCGCCGCGGGGGAGCGTTTGCCCCCCCGGGCTGGGAGAGATCTCCTGCTGGCCCTAGGGGCTGCTGCTGTAACCACTGCTTTCAAACAGGCACAATTTGGTGGGTACAGAAGCTGCACAGGTGGGAACTCGATCACCTCGTGTTGTTCGTAAGAATTTTTAGATTTGACCCCCACGGGCTGCCCAGGACTCCCGAGGCTTCAACGCGGGTCCGCAGACAGGGAACTGCAAATGCCTTGCATTTGCGTCCAGTCGGGTCAGCTAAAATGATGGGGAAACTGCAGGGAAGAAATTATTTTCACTTGGTCTCTCCATAGCAAAGGCCGAGGATGCTTTTGTTCCCCTGGCCTCTCTCCATTCCACCGCGGTGGGGCATTTTGGGTGTCTGACACGAACGGTCCTGGAGCTAGCTGGAGAGGCAGGAGTCCCCAGTCACCTTTCGGGATGCTGCCAGAGGCTGGGGAGCACGACAGCCAGTCTCCCCACACAGCTGGGGCATATCTGCCTCTTCCTTCAGCCAGTGATTTTTCTGTGAGGGGACTTGTCATCACAACCGGGCGGGCATCGAAGCAGCTGGAGGGGAAGAGACCCTTGCTGGCCCCTCGGGGCTCCCTGCTGCTCCTCAACTTAGCACTCCTCTCTCCTCTCTGTGCCAGGCGCATGTTCCCCACCTTCCAGGTGAAGATATTCGGGATGGACCCTATGGCTGACTACATGCTCCTCATGGATTTCGTTCCGGTGGATGACAAGCGATACCGGCAAGTAACAAATACCTGGCCTGTCCCGTGGTTCTCGGAGCCGTAGGGGCTGGTGGGTCGCTGCTCACCCCCTGCTTCTGCCCTCTGGGGGTTTGGGGATGTGCCCCTGGGCGTGACACCTGTCGGTGCGAGACAGGGAGGGGACACGGGATGCAGCTGACCTGGGGTCTCTTTCACACCCTAGCAACGAGTCTGGGGCCAGGAGCGGCTGCACGGGACCGCAGGGCCCCCTCAGCCTTCGTACCGGGCTCACAGGTGGCCGGGGCCAGACCAGCATGGGCAGAAGGGCAGGTTTCCACAGCGCACAGGCTGCCTTGTCCTGCCCAGAAAAGCTCTCCTTGTCGCACTGCCACCCATCTCCACCGGCAAACACCCTTTGCCACTTAATGAAAATCCCCCTCGGTGCTCCTTGAATGCTGTAGTCTCTCGGAGCTGTGCCCTGCCTGCTGGGGAGCTTCCTGGGTGCTTAGGTGAAGAGAGTGGGTTTTGTGCTTTGGAAGGGCACTAGCCACTCAAACCACAAAACCCTGTCCTTGTTTCCAGCGGCAATGTAGGAAGGCCTTGGAAACTCTCACAAGGCAGCAATGTGGTCTGGGTTGGAACCCCTTTAATTTTAAGACAGTGAAAGGCACATTATGTATTTAGCTTCAGATCAGGACGCCAAGCAGGCAGCCCGCATAGGAATCGCAGGGTCCGATATATAAATATTTAGACAGATATCCAAATTCTCAGGGCGTCCTAGAAATGTTTGCTTGTCAAAGGAAGTAGGATATATAACATCCAATTGAGTATATCTTTAAAAAGTAATGTTTCTGCTCAAGTCCAATGGTGTCTAATTCCCCCTGTGCAAACACTGGCTTTTAAAGTAAACACGTGTATAGAAGATTGGTTTCTCTGTTTTAAATGTTACTGTTGAATATGTACTTTGAAAGAATGAAACAAGACTGCTAAATTCTGAACCTGCTATTAATCTACAGACAACTTTCCACTCTTCACTTAAAGCCAGAATATTACTGTATAGACGGCTCTTTTTCACCCTTTTTTTAGAGGAAGGGGTAGCTTTTGTGGCTTCTCTCCCAAATCTACACGGGTAGCTATAAATTTCCTCCATCCTGCAGATTTCACTCACGACAGTTCCATCACCGACCTGATAAAATATTATATCCCCTCTGCAGCAATTCTGGCTGCGGAAAAGACCTCGTTCCTCTCGTGGCTGTAGGAAGCGGGAGTGATGGAGAGGCGGTGCTTGCCCCTCGGTGGGCCAGGGGGACCGTTCCGGGCCGGGTTCTGCGGGACGCGAGTGCTGCAGTCGTTCGGGGCGGCGCTGCAGGGACGTGGGTGGGAGCCCCCCGGGCCGCGGCTGAGGGTGCCTTTCCCTCCCGCAGGTACGCCTTCCACAGTTCCTCCTGGCTAGTGGCCGGCAAAGCCGACCCCGCCACCCCCGGGAGAGTCCATTACCACCCGGACTCCCCGGCCAAAGGGGCGCAGTGGATGAAGCAGATCGTTTCCTTCGATAAGCTCAAACTGACCAACAATTTGCTGGATGACAACGGGCATGTAAGTGTTCCTGGGAGAAGATGTCCAACACGGGGCTGCGCCGGGTGGGAACTCCCCGCGCTGTGATTCCCTGCCCGCGCCCTTCCCCGGGGGCTCTTCCCCAGCCCCACGGCTGCCTCGGGCAGTGGAGCCGGCAGGGCCGGGGCTGCGCTCTCCTCTCTCCATGCTCCGCCTGGATCAGTTATTGTCTCCTTGCTCGTTTTATCATTCAGATCATTTTGAACTCCATGCACAGATACCAGCCGCGTTTTCACGTGGTCTACGTGGACCCCCGGAAAGACAGCGAGAAGTACGCGGAGGAGAACTTCAAAACTTTCGTCTTTGAGGAGACGCGCTTCACGGCAGTGACCGCCTACCAGAACCACAGGGTGAGGCAGAAGCGGAGCTCGGGGCAACCGAAAGCGGGGGTTGGGGTCGCCCCGGCGGTGCCATGGGTGCGGATGCATCCGGCGCTAACTCAGCCCCTTCGTCTGGCTCCGGGGTTGGAGGCCGGGCTGCGGGTGTCCGGCGGTGGCGGGGGTGGCTGGGGGTGTTTCCACCTCCTCCTCCCCATCTGCTAAACCCATTCCGGGGAGCTGCGCGGAACTGCATCGGTGTACACCAAGGAAGCGACGTGGGCTCTAACCCCATCACCAGCTTTCCCCCGCCCGGTGGACCTCATTACCTGTGTAAACCCGAGACCAGGGATAGTGGGGAAACTACAGGCTTCCCGCTGCGAAATGTCACTCACAATTTGTTTGGATAAATCTGCGATTTTAATGCTTTAGGCTCGTAGCTGTTTCTCCTCAGAAATTATACGTTAAAAACGAAACAAAACGAAACAAAACGAAACAAAACACCCCCACCCCAATCTGATGCGGATCTCTGGGCAGCAGTTAATCCAATTGCTCCTTTAAATCGCATCAGTGTAATGTAAAGAGCAGGAATCCCTGCAGCGAGTGGAAATAAGACTTCATTGCAGGGGCTTTGCAGCGCTGCTCTGCGCCAATGCCGCCCAGGCTGGGGCTGTGTCCCGGGGCTGTCCCTGAGCAGCCCGCGGCAGTGTCACCCTCTGCAGTGGCTCCGAGAAAATTGACCTGACGTCTTTCTGGGATGCTGCGGTCGGGCCGCACCTCGCCCCGGTAGAGGCGGCGAGGCCAGAGAAAGGCTGTGCCTTTAAGGGGCTCTGGAGTCCCTCCCCGGCTGGCATTTGCCTGATGGCTCCGGACAGCTGCTCTTTCTCTCCTGCTTTCTATCAGTTTGACCTCTAAGGCTGGAACTGTCACTGAGGGGCTTAAAGTTTGTTTTTCAACCCATTCCGGAAACTCACAATCACATACTTTATCCGTGGATTTGCTTAAATATAGAAAATGTCCTGCCTTCTCCCTGGCGAATTAAATAAATACATTAGTATGATTTATCCAGTGATTTGTCTTAACTGCTCCAGTGGTGACCCATATAATGTGGCATTTTCTTACAAGTGCATTTACTCAGCTTTTGCAGCCAACTCAGACTGCCTCTCCTTTCACCTTGAACTCATATTAGGTAGCATAATAGCCCGCATTTTCCAACAGAGAGAAAGCACATGTTTGTGCTCTGTGGCAGAGAACACCCTGGCTCCACCAGCCACCTGGATCCTCTCTGTTACGCTAAGCACTGCTGAGTCCCAAAGCCTGCTCAGGAACACACTTGCTGTTTGGCCAGGGAGCCCCATGTGCTGCTTTGAGACATTTTGCTACTTCTCCTTACAGATCACACAGCTGAAGATTGCGAGCAACCCTTTTGCCAAGGGATTCAGAGACTGCGACCCTGAGGACTGGTAAGGCTATGCCTTTATTGATTATGGCAATACCCCACTCATCCTATTTCACATGCACCTGCCCAGCACAAGGCTTGCATGGAGGGGGACACTGTATTGGGCCCCGTTTGCCAGCTGCAGCTCACAGAGGCAATACTTCAGTTGTTCATTCTGTTGGACCATCAGCTCCATATCACTTCTCCTCTTCCAGGCCCAGGAACCACAGGCCAGGGGCTCTTCCTCTCATGAGCGCTTTTGCCAGATCCCGGAATCCAGTCTCTTCCCCAGCCCACCAGAACGGGACAGAGAAAGGTGAGAGCCCCCAGTGGCCAGGCCAGCCCATCACCCAGCCCTGTTTGCCTGCACGGCCCGTGCATGCATGCTTGGGGCCAGCCTTGCTCACCATGCTGGTGCACAGCCCCATTACTAATGAGCTTTGTGCTACTACTTATTTTTTAAAGAAAAATACCTGCCTTCATAGCCTAATTCATTCTTCCTTGGATTACAACATTTACTTTTGTTATATGCTTAAGAAAATTTGCTGCTTTAAAAAACACTGTCCCTTGCCTTTAAAGTCCCATTTTCAACTTTTGAGCAACAAACTCAGCTTTTCAGGCTGGGATGCAGTGCTGGCCACAGGTTCCTTTTCGCATTGCCCTTTTAACGCGCCTCGGCAGTGCGCTTAGGGCCGACCCACTCCATTCAGGAGCTGCAGTCAGGTCGAACAGCACCTCTGCCCATTGACTGCTTTTCCATTACCCAGAGCAAACAACTGCAAAGACAACCGAAGGCCTTTCTTCCAACGCACTCCAGGCCTGCAAAATAAAGGGAAGTCTGTGTTTGTTTAGTGTTACACAATTGCAAAAATGTCAGGCGTGTACCAGCTTGTCAGTCAACTCAACTCCATTTATCGTAGTCAGAAGGTCCCGTCCCGCCAGCCCCGTTCCTGCCGCATGCCGCTGTTGCACGCCCCGCTCTTCCCCTCGCGCGCCTCTCTCCCGTGTGTGCGGATGCGCGTCCCGCGGGAGCGGCCGCACTAACGCTGTTGCCCCCCGCAGATGCTGCCGAGAGCCGGCGGGAGTTCGAGCGGGAGGCGGGCGGGACGGCGCTGCACCAGGCCGAGGCCGCGCACCAGCAGCTCATGTCCCGCGTACTCAGCCCCGCGCTGCCGGGCGGAGGCGGCGGGCTGGTGCCGCTGGCCGGGGCGGGCGGCGGCCGGCCCAGCCCTCCGCACCACGAACTGCGCCTGGAGCCCGCCGCGTCGGAGCCGCTGCACCACCATCCCTACAAGTACCCGCCCGCGGCGGCCGCCGCCTACGACCACTACCTGGGGGCGAAGAGCCGGCCCGCCCCCTACCCCCTCCCCAGCATCCGCGGGCACAGCTACCACCACCATCACCACCACCATCACATGAACGCGGCGGCCGCAGCGGCGGCGGCCGCCAACATGTACTCGCCGGCCGGGGCACCCGCCGGCTACGACTACGGGCCCCGGTAACGGGGCACCGGCGGCACGAGAGACACCGCCCTCCCCCTTCGCGCCTTTCCCTCACCTCCCGCCTTACGAGTGAGCTGATTGGCCAGCTTGACCTGATCGACAGCCCGACAGCCCAATCGCCGGCAGCCGGGCCCCGCCCCGCGCCCCGCCCTGTGGGGGCTGTGAGGGCGGCGGTGCCGGGAGCTCCATCGCGGTGTGACCCGCGGCTGCACTTTGATAAATGAAGCCATATGTCCTTATTTCCCTGTTCCCCTGCGCCTCCGTTCGTGCCGGGCACCGAGGACCGTCGGGCGGCTAGGATGCGGTGGGAGGACGGGGAGGCGGCGGCGGTGGAGCGACTCGTGCCCTCTCACTCGCCCGCCAGGTCTTCTGATGGAGGTTTGGTGTTACCGCCGGTGTTGGCGGTGCCCACGGGTGTTTCCTGCCCACGGGGCCTGTACGTGAGCACCGAGCAAGGGCTGTGAGGCCGGCCGTGAGCCGTGTGTCGTCCTGCCCTTGTTGGTGACAATCTCTCCCAGCCTGGGGCACATCGAGGGCTGGTTCACAGGTGGCTCAGGTGGTTCTTTGAGGAGATTCTTGGAGAAGCAGAGTTTAGTTTAAGGGAACGGTTTGAATCCTCACTGCCAGAACAAATTTCCCACTTCTCCTCCGGCCCTGACCCACTCGTAAGTTTTGGGGTTCACTGGGATGCCTTAACCACAGCAGCATTTTCTGGAGCTGTTGAGAAGGGCCTATGGCCAAGAGCACGGCCACGTGCAGCTGTGTTTGCATCTTGTTTTCCCAACAATACCTGCAAAGGTTTAAAAACCAGCCTGGGGGTGGGGGAATATCTGCAGAGTTCCGGCTGTGTGTTTCCCACCTGCTTCCCAGGCAGCCTCACACAGTCCTGCCTTCCTGCATCCTTTCCCGAGCTCTTGAATACTCTCCCATGGAGGTGCCTTTTAAAGGGACTTCAGGGTTTTTTTTTCTGAGACTGGCTCACCCCTTATATTTGGCTGACCCATACTGCAGTAGTCCTAAAGCACCTATTCTGCATTACCTGCTTGCTGCATCTTCCCTCTTAATGCCGGTAAGTATTTTTTCTTTTTCCTTTAATATCCTCATTCAGTAGTCGTTCCTTACCATTAAAAAGATAGCCCTGTTCATCACGGATCTCCAGTGATGTGTTTTGAATAGCTGGCTTTTGTTTTTGTCAGATGCTCACTGAAGGCAGTCCCTTTGTGTTCAGAGAAGGTATTGAGCAGCTCTTCAGCTGTGTTGGTATACAGTATTATGAACACTTTTCTGATTATTCCACATAACTCCATTGAAAGATGGGAGTTATTTCTTTTAAAGTCATCTATTCATCCATGTTTGTGCATTTTCATTACAAACTCTTTAAAACAGGTTCTTTCCCTTGTGCAGGTGGCAGTGTTAATAGCAATGTTTATTTTGTCTCTGGCAGTGGGCTTTGGGCTTCCAAAACCTTTTTGGAAAGGTTTAAGAAGGGATACAGGCTACCATGAATATATTATGTAATTTTTTTTTCTGTTAAAAATATATCTGGATCCATAAAAAAGACTTGTGCAAGAAATATGTATTTTATTTGACATTTGCAGTGAATTGTGAGATTCTTAGTGTCTGACTAAACCATAATTAATGTTCTCAGAAAGGTTAATGTAAAATAGCCTTGTGCTTATTATTAGTCAGTGGGAAATGGCTCTTGGATGTGCTCTAATACTATTGCTTTGCCGCTGTTATTTGAGAATTTTCAGTATGATTTGTTATCTGTAAACTGATTAGTGCCAAAGCTTTGGTCAAACATTTAATGAAGTTGTTATATTTATTATTTCCTTCAAAGATTATACAACCCTTTTTTTTTTTTTCTTGATAGTCGCAGTGTAGGAAAAAAAGTGAAGACAACGAAAGAATCATATCTGCAAAGTGTAGATACGTGTAGATATTTGTAGATATATGTGGATAATCTTATTTCATTTAAACTGAAAAGACATTGGACAGTGACATTTATAAATATTTTTTCCTCTTTTTTCTTTCCTTCATTTCTTGTTTGATTATTTGTGTATATTTGTCAGTTTGTCTGCCCTGAAGTCTAAGCCTCCCCTACAAAATGAGGTTATTTCAATCGAGAGAGTTCTCAATCTGAGCAAACAGTGGCTCTCCATAGGTGATTGCTCCTTCCCTTCTGTCCCTGGCTGCTGCAGGTGCCCGTGGTTGTGGTAATCTATCACAATACAACACTTTGCAAGGTTGGGGTTCTCAGGTGAAAACAGATCTGTTTGTTTTGGTGAGCACCTGTTCTCTTTAAGCACACATAGAATAGATGCCAGGACTAAACTGTGCCCTTAATGAAAGTGCCTCAAGGTCCTTGCCTTGACTAGGAATTTTATTTTTATATTTGTTTGAAAAGAAAATCCCAGAACTTCAAGCTATGGCTGTGGTCAGTGGGCCCTTAGGATCAGCGTTCTGTGCTAAAGAACCACAGCAGAGGTTCTGAGGATGAATAGGAAGGAGACTGTGCAGCTGTGTCAAGGCTACAGTCTGAACTATGAAAATGGTTATTTCTAACTATGCATTTAGTCCATCAGCATGCAAGGTGCTTAGACATGTTCACATTGAAGTATGTTAGCAGTCCAGTTCATGTTGTGTTTTAATTCTTCAATCAAGATTCCTCAGGGATTTGATTGGTGTCCCTCCTTCCATCACAATGTCTGTCTTACTGAATGGGAGTGTTACAGATATGGAAAGCAAAAATGGTTATTTTTCTATCACAACAAAAAATCCACTTCAAATGAACAAACATAATGCTGCAGGTTGACTAGTAGAAGCCTTTTGAAAATCACAGAAAATATGTAACACTTTAATGTCATGTTACCTGTCAGCCTATTAGTCAGGATATATCATGGGTACACCGTGCACTACCTGTGTATTGTAGATTCATTTGCCAAATGACTTTGTATGATTTGATCACCTGTCTGGTTGAACTTCACTCAGCCCATGCTGTCAGCAAGGTCCATGGCACACACTAGGAAAGAAGGCAGCTGCATTTCCAGGCAATCCTTACACTTGTGGTCACCTCAAGTCCCACTAAGCACTTCCATATGAAGTGTATTTAAAAGCTGCTGTAAAACAGGCCCAAGTGTGGAGGTTACAAGCATCCTTTGTCTCTTCCAAATAGGGCTAGAGAATAAATTAGCCATCTAGCTCTGTTCTCTAGAGGTACAGGCTGAGTTCAGTGATTGCTTCTGAGGTCTGAAAACCACATCACTTAGCTCAGTGGGTAAATCCAGGATTAGGCCCACGCAGGTGGAACAAGGATGGCTTTTGATTAATCATTTAACCCAAATACTGGGGATAGCTCTAGATTTCAGAAATGGCTTTTTGCAGCTGATTTTGTTCTTTCCTTGCTAGTGGAATTGACTAAAATCAATGTAGGGATGAGACTCCTGTGTGTTTGCGGTGTTCATATACACTCTTTACACATTTCATAATGTTTTCTTTAGTCTTTCCTACTCCTCAGGGAGGCCCTATAACTCTGGCTAGAGCTGTGCAGGTAGTCCCCAGCAGCTGGCTCTCAGTATCCTGGGGTGTTGGCAACTCTTCAGTCAATCTCAAGTACACATGTACACAGGGCCATGGCCGGGGGAACAACTGCTTTGGCTTCCTCCTACAGTGTAATGGTGGCTTGCAAGGTGGAGAATGACCCAGGGACTGTAGCAGGTATAGAAAGGTGTTCTGCAGGTAGCAGGCTGCTGGGGGACGGCCTGGGTCTCCCATGATCTACGGGCTTCTAGTGCATCTCTACAAGAGCCATGGCTAATGGGGCTACATGGCTTGGGGCCGTCTCAGCTGGGGCACTGTCCTTTCGTGCCAAGCACTCCTCCTCTCCAGCAAGTGGATTTCAGTCTGTGATGCTGGATCCCTCGCCAAGGGGCAGCTGTACCTTGATCTGTATGGAATCAGAAAAGCAGGTTCACTCGTGCTGTGTAAGGTTCTGCCTGTGTAAAGGGATCCCCGTAGCCGCTAGAAACAAGGTAGGCACCCACAGGTTAGGGCTGGGGGCAGAAGCTGAGCCCTGCAGCCTGGAGAAGGCTGGAAGGGCAAACGCAGCAGTACCTGCAAAGCAGGTTCCAGCATCATCACCCAGAGTTTAAAAAGCTGCCGTGAGCCTGTTGAACACGGCTGGGCTGGAAGGTGGGAGAAGAGTGCGTGTGTGCACAGACGTGTTGGTTCTTTGTGCTTTGCCTTCTATTGTTCGGTTTCCTGATAGGTTGAAACCAAATGTAATTTTGCTGCAGCGCGTTGAGACCGCGGGTGCTTTGGCCTGACCCGCCGTTTGTGTGGAACTGTCGCTGTGAGCAGGGACACCCGCAGTGTGTCCCGAGGGTCACCTCGGCAGGTCCCCGCAGGTATGGCTGCCCCGCGGCCGCGGTGGAGGAGGAAGAGGAGGAAGATGCTGCGCGCACCCCGGCCGGCCCTGCCTGACGATCCGGCTCCCTCCAGAGGGAAGAGCGGGCATGGCACGGGGTGGATCCGGCACGCTCGGAAAACGAGAAGGGTTCAACTTCGGGAGCTGGGAAATACGCGATGAGAGGAAAACACAGATTTGGGGGTTAAAGGAAAGATTTGATCTTTGAAACACTCTGGCATAAATAAGAAGGGGCAGTCTCCTGTGAGTTACGGTTTGAGGATACTCAGCCAGCAATGGCTCAGCTGTTGCTTTAAGCAGGTGTTATTAAGAATCCAGTCTGTGTGTGTAGAGGCCAGTACTTGTGTATGGATGCAAAGTTTTTCTAAACATATGCACTTTGTTCTTCATTTAATCATTCCAATTCAATTGATTGCTAGGATATATAATTTACACAGGTGTTTGACAAAACTAGGCGAAGTGACTATCTGAAGATTTCTGTTATTGCCATTAACATGAGCTCAGCATGTGCATATAAAACACGCTGTTACAGCGAGACACCCATTGTCAGTGGAAATCTAGACAGTGTATCAGA